CCCCGTTTTCCCCACCAACTACTCTTGGTTGTTGTAACTCAACTGCTTCATCTAGATTTCCTCCAATAGGATTAACTGGAAGTCCTTGATTGTTCATTCTTCCAAAGTTCTGTTCAACTCTGGATCGTACGGAGTAAGTGGTTCGCCTTGGCTCCGTGTACTTGGCATACACTAGAGTCGGAAACTGAGAGAGACAAAAACAAAGGGAAAAAGTAAAATTAGGAAATATTTGACTAACGTTCAATAATGTAGTTGAAAATAAATCTAAAAGCCAGTTTCCCGGAGCGGCGCCAAAATTTGATACGCTCAAATTACACCTCCCTAAAGAAGTATAAGCGATCGTTATCAAGTAAAGAACCCAACTTGTAGGTTGGGGTCGATCCCACGAGGAAAATGGTTTAGACTTTACTTTAACCAACAATTATATTCAATTAGCCAAAATACTTCCGGAAACAAGAAATAAAAAAAGGGGGGATTTGTGAAACAAATTGTAAGAATTTAGTAAGTAATCAATAATCAAAAGTCAATTTCGGTTGTTATCAGATGAGAAGATTAACTAGGGTAAACGTGTTCCCCACAAGCTCATAACTCAGTAATCCTAGTAATCGCAATCCTTTCCTAGTGTATTACATGCAAAGTGATAAGTTAGGTATTTCTAAATCCTTGATCCGCATCTAAAGAATTTCACCCCGCACCTTGATCTGACTACGTGTGTATAATTTACTAACCCTTACCTTTACCTCATATTAGACATCATACTCGATGTTTGGCTTAGTTATTACTTCACACCAATCGACACTAGCCTATTAGATAGTATCACACTAAATCTATGTTGATAATTCTTTTCTTGTTGATTACCTCCTTGATCCGCAGGTAGCAACAAGGCGAGTTCTAACGCGTGCACTCGTTAAAAAGACTTTTAAACGAAAGAATTATCAATGCATGCAAAACACTATTCAAGAATTGCTTATTTACTATTCATACTTTGTTAATCGCTCATGGTTCCCACAACCCTAGTTGTGGATTTAGTTACCCATACTAGCAAGAACACAATTCATAATATTAGATGAATAAATCATGAACTTACGTAACGAGAATAATAAACCCAGAATTTCAACTTGAATTGCAAAGCCAAAATCTTCAAAACGAATGTAGGAAATCAATAATTGCTAGGGTTGAAACTTAATCTCCAAAGTCACAAGGTAAAAATAGAATAATAATGTCTAACCCCCAAAAATGAGGTTTACATGTCCTATTTATAGAAAACAAATCCTAAATTAAAAGGGAAACAAATTAAGGAAAGTTTGTTCAGGTACGCGTCTTCAATCCACGAGACTGACTTACGGACCGTCGATGGATCTACGATCTGTAAGTCCCTTCCGTCAGCTAGGACTAAATAAAGGGAAACAATTAAGGAAAATATTTATGCTTCCAAAAATAAGCTTCTATGAATCAAACGATGGACTAACAGTACGGACTGTAGATCGATCTACGGTCCGTCAATCCCCTCCGTAGCTCCATACTTAGAATCTTCAAAAATCAGGTGCTGAAACCCTTGCAGTATCATTCTACGGATCAACAGTACGGTCCGTAGATCAATCTACTGACCGTCAATGGACACCGTGGTTCCACACTTGGTCAGATTTCCCTTATTTGTCCTCAATCCCATGCCTGCTGATCTACGGTCATTATCTACAGACCGTGATTGGACCTACGGTCCGTAGATCACCTCTGTGAATGCCCTGTTTCTGCATTTCTTGCAGCTGTCTCTATACTTCCGCGCCTGAACACTTTTCCTGCAAAACATGATAAAAACACATAAAAAGTAATATAAAAAGGCCTTAGACACACACAACTTGTAAGTGAAATGTATTAGAAATATCGTAAACTCACGGTATATCATGCACCCAGAAACAAAGGTGAGTACAGTAGTCAGAATTCACAGCATTTCAGGGCTAAGCCTGTGCAGTCTCAGGGTAGTGTGGCACAAAGAGGTAACTTGGCTCCTACATATGCTAAGTGTGGTAGAACCCACCCAGGTAAGTGTCATGATGGCCAGTCAAGTTGTTTCAAGTGTGGACAAGATGGTCACTTTATGAAAGAGTTCCCTAAGAATTGGCAAGGTAGTGGAAATCAGGGCAATAGAGCCTAATCTTCATCAGTTGCTCCACAAGACAAGGCTGCACCTTGAGGAGCTACATCCGATACTAGTGGAGGAACAAACCGTCTTTATGCAATCACTAGTCGTCAAGAGCAAGAAAACTCTCTAGATGTTGTCACTGGTATGATTAAAGTGTTGACTCTTGATGTTTATGCTTTTCTAGAACCAGGAGCAATAGTTTTGATGTTCTTCCTGAGAAACTCTGTGAACCTTTTTATGTTTCTACACATGTTGGGGAGTCTATTCTAGCTGAGCGAGTATATCGTGATTGTGTCATTTCCGTCAATCACAAGGACACCATGGTTGATTTAGTCGAATTATACATGGTAGATTTTGATGTCATTCTTGGTATGGACTGTCTTTATGCCTGTTATGCCTCTGTTGCTTGTAGAACTCGAGTTGTCAAGTTTTAGTTTCCAAATGAGCCAATCTTAGAGTGGAAAAGTAGTTCAACAATGCCTAAGGGTCATTTTATTTCGTACATTAAGGCAATGAAGTTAGTTTCTAAGGGGTGTGTCTATCACTTGGTCTGATTTAATGACTTTAGTGTTGAGATACCTCCTATTCAGAGTTTCCAAAAGTCTTTCCAGATGATCTTCCCGGAGTCCCTACTGAGAGAGAAATAGACTTCGGTATAGACATTCTTCCAGATACTCATCCTATCTCTATTCCTCCATATATAATGGCACCAGTAGAGTTGAAAGAGCTTAAAGAACAGTTGAAAGATCTCCTTGATAAGGTCTTTATTTGACCAAGTGTCTCACCTTGGGGTGCTCCGGTCTTATTTGTGAGAAAGAAAGATGGTTCCTTTCGTATGTGTATAGATTACAATCAGTTGAACATGGTTACCATCAAGAACAAATATCCTCTCCCAATGATTGATGATCTTTTCGATCAGCTTCAGGGTGCTACTTGTTTCTCTAAGATAGATATCAGATCTGGCTACCATCAATTAAGAGTAAGGGAATGTGATATTCCAAAGACAGCTTTCAGAACCCGTTATGGTCATTCTGAATTTCTGGTCATGTCCTTTGTTTTGACCAATGCGCCTGCGACATTCATGGATCTTATGAATAGAGTATTCAAGCCTTATTTAGATATGTTTGTTATCGTATTCATTGATGACATACTAATCTATTCGAGGAATGAAGAAGATCATGCTAGTCATCTCAGAATAGTTCTCCAAACTTTAAAAGATAGAGAGTTGTATGCCAAGTTCTCTAAGTGTGAGTTCTAGCTTGAGTCTATGGTATTCTTAGGCCACATTGTGTTTGGAGAGGAAATTAAAGTTGATACCCAAAAAATTAAGGCAGTGTAGAATTGACCTAGACCCATATTTTCAATAGATATGCAGAGTTTCTTGGGTTTGGTTGGCTATTACAGAAGGTTCATAGAGGGGTTCTCATCCATTTCGTCTACTTTGACCAAGTTAACTCAGAAGACAGTGAAGCTTCAATGGTCTAAAGCTTGTGAGAAAAGCTTTCAGGAATAGAAAAAGAGGTTAACTACTGCCGTAGTTTTGACCTTACCAGAAGGTACTCAAGGTTTTGTGGTGTATTGTGATGTATCTAGAGTTGGTTTGGGTTGCGTATTAATGCAGAATGGCAAGGTTATAGCTTATGCCTCCAGACATTTGAAAGTTCATGAGAAAAATTACCCAACCCATGAATTAGAGTTGGCTGCTGTAGTATTTGCTTTGAAGATATGACGTCATTATTTGTATGGTGTTCATGTAGATGTATTCACTGATCACAAGAGCCTTCAGTATGTGTTTACTCAGAAAGAGCTTAATCTCAGACAGAGGCGGTGGTTAGAATTACTCAAAGATTATGACATGTGTATTCTTTATCACCCAGGTAAGGCTAATGTTGTTGCTAATGCTTTGAGCAGGTTGTCTATGGGTAGTACTGACCATGTTGAGGAAGAAAAAAGAGAGTTAGCAAAAGATGTGCATAGACTTGCACGCTTGGGAGTCCGACTAATGTATTCCACAGAAGGAAGAGTAGTGGTGATGAATGGGGCTGAATCATCATTAGTGTCAGAAGGAAAAGAGAAGCAAGATCAAGATCCCATTTTTCTTAAGTTGAAGGCAAATGTTCATAAGCAAAAAGTAATGGCTTTTGAACAAGGGAGAGATGGTGTATTGAGATATCAAGGTAGATTGTGTATACCAAGGGTGGATGAACTCCAAGAGAGGATCATGGTGAAAACTCATAGCTCCAGTTATTCCATTCATCTAGGTTCCACAAAAATGTATCGCGATTTGAGAGAGGTTTATTGGTGGAGTAGTATGAAGAAGGGCATTGCCGAGTTTGTTGCTAAGTGCCCGAATTGCGAACAAGTTAAAGTAGAGCATCAAAGTCCCGGTGGTTTGGCTCAGAATATAGAACTTCCAGAATGAAAGTAGGAGATGATTAATATGGACTTCATCACAGGTTTTTCGAGGTCTCGCAGGCAGCATGATTCTATTTAGGTGATTGTCGATAGAATGACAAAGTCAACCCACTTTTTGTCGGTAAAGACTACCCATACAACATAAGATTATGCCAGGTTATATATTCAAGAGGTAGTAAGACTTCATGAAGTCCCTATTTCGATTATATCGGATAGAGGTGCACATCTTACTGCACAGTTTTGGAAGTCATTCAAAAAAAGCTTGGGTTCAAAGGTGAACTTAAGTACTACCTTTCATCCTCAGACAGATGGGCTAGTAGAGTGCACTATTCAGACCTTAGAGGATATGTTGAGGGCTTGTGTGACTGATTTCAAAGGTAATTGAGATGATCACCTACCTTTTATTGAGTTTGCTTACAACAATAGTTACCACTCTAGCATCCAAATGACTCCTTATGAAGCTCTTTATAGGAGAAGGTGCAGATCTCCTGTTGGATGGTTTGAGGTTGGTGAAGCTGGGTTGATAGGACCAAATTTAGTTCATAAAGCTATTGAAAAGGTGAAAGTGATTCAAGAGAGGTTGAAAACAGCGCAAAGTTGTCAGAAATCTTACACTGATGTTAGGAGAAGGGAGTTAGAGTTTGAAGTAGATAATTGGATGTATTTAAAAGTTTCACCAATGATAGGTGTTATGAGATTTGGCAAGAAGGAGATGCTTAGTCCCCGTTACATTAGCCTTTACAGAATATCGAAAAGGGTAGGTAATGTAGCTTATGAGTTGGAGCTACCACAAGAGTTAGCAGCTGTTTATCCAATATTTAATTTTTCCATGTTGAAGAAGTGCCTGGGAGATCCTTCACTTATTATACCAACTGAGGATATTGAGATCAAGGATAGCTTATCTTATGAGGAGATTCCTGTTCAGATTCTAGATCGCCAAGTCCGCAAGTTGATGACAAAAGAGGTAGCATCAGTCAAGGTTCTTTGGAGGAATCAATTTTTTGAGGAAGCTACTTGGGAAGCTGAGAAAGATATGAAGAAGAGATATCCAAACCTCTTCAAATCCGGAGAAATTCCAGAACAATGTACTAATTCTCTTCTTAGTACTCTTTAACTTATGAGATTGCATGTTGTATTTGCATTGCTTGTTTGGTGTTTGAGCTGAATGTTAGATGTTATACCCTTAGCCTACTAAGAGTAAGCTCATTTGAGAACGAATGTTCCCAAGGGTGAGATATTGTAACACCTTGTAACTAGAAAGAACTAAAAAGGAATTTAAAAGAGGAAATAGTCATTTTTGGAAAGTATAAAGAAAATATGGAAATTGTTAAATGTGTAAAAGTTGAGTTTTTGGTCAACTTCAAATGACCATAACTTCTAGCTAGGAATAAGTTAGGTGTGTTTCCAGATATCGTAGGAAAGATCTTGGAATGATCTTTCCAGTGTCGTCGAGTTTGCATGATTCTAAGTTCGTATGAGTGAGATATGCCAATTGGAAGTTGGGTTGTTCGAATAAGGAAATGTCCAATCCAGATTTTAGAAGGGCATTATGCTCTTTTCCATACCCCATGACTTAATTTCATTTTTTGTAATTAGTTGGGGTCTAAACTGATAGGATTCAGTTTACACTTTTATGATATTGAGTTAGGGTTTTAGAAAAGAGAAAAGAAGAAGAGAAAGGAGGAGAAGGAGCAAGAATCGTCAAGTTCTTCAAGAATTACTTGTGGATTTCGTCAAGGGGTGATCCCTACAAGGTATGTGAGTTCACACAGTGTTGGGTTCGTTCACCCATGCGCCAAACATGTTTAATTCAGCATGAATTCGTAATAAAAGTTGAAAGTTTGAATGTTCTTCATGTGTGTTCTTGAATTTACTTTCGTTCTTGAATTTGGGATGAGATTTAAGAGTTCTTTAGAGTTTAAGGTCAATTAGAGAGTTGTGTTTGATTAGATTCTTGTGTACATATGTTAGGTATCTGAATCTAAAGAGAATTAGAGAAAAAGAATCGAATTTAGGTGATTTGGGGTTTGAAAACAAAGAAGGAACAAGTCGGTAGAATCTGCGTACCAGGTCCGCCACGCGGACGTGTTCCTCAAGATTGAAAAAGTTCTCCCCACGTTGCGGAGCGGTCACGGACCGTTCTGCCTCAAAAATTATTTTTGCGACCAAAAATTTAAATACATCTCCGCTTCGTGAACTTACTTCCAGGCAGCGATTTCTTGATCATTTCTCATGTTTAGCTATCTAAAATCAGTCCTAAACATCATGAGATCTTTCCTATCACAAAACACAATCCTTGAATCCATAATTCAATCCAAGGATCAGTTAAGAGTCGAGCCAAAAGAAGTTGAGAGTCAAGTTAAGAGAAGTTAAGAGTCAAGTCAAGAGAAGTTCATAGAGTCTTCCAAGAGTCTTTTTCAAATGTTTTAACTTTGTTTTAAGACTTGAGTTTTGAGTTGAGTAAAGCTTAAAGTTTGAAGTTCATTTTTCAAAAGAGTATATCGGGACAATGTATTCCCAAAGAGTAAAATGTTTTCACATTTAAAGAAGAAAGGAAACCTTGATTTCCAAAAGAGCCGTTGAGCTAGTTTTTCAGTAAAGAGCCTTTGAGACAGTTTTCCTGTTAAAGAGTAAATGCTTTCACAATTAAGCAAGAGAGGAAACTTTGATTTCCAAGAAGAGCCTCTGAGCTAAGTTTTTCAGCAATTATCTCAAATCACAGAAAGAAGTATGTTTTTTTTAAAACATAAGAGCTAGTATCATATTTTGGGAGTAGTATTGAGCGCCGATATGAGGGAGAGTTCAAACAACTCACAGCCCCCATAAACCATGTAGCCACCATGGGTAGAAAAAGGGTCATACTTTTTAGATGATTCCTTAGTGCTTTTTAGCATAGACTAGTAGATCCACTTAGTAGTTCAGGTTCTATACTCATGGCAAGGTATAGGACGGCCCTGGTAGCGTGAGGCAAAACGTTGTATCATCACAATAGCTCTTAAGTGATGGTTTTCGGTTAGAGAAACTCCCACAATAGTGTTTTGTATTTTTATATACATCAGAAATATTTATATTTTCATATACAAATAGAGTTCATATTGCATCTTTGCATACATACGGAGTTATTATTGTATTTCTAAATATACAGAGTTGAAAAACATGTTTTAAAGCTTTTCTGTATAGTGCATCTATTTACACTTCTTTATATTGAAATCAGTTGAGTTGAGCCAGATAAGTTCTTCAGTTCCTTTCAAGCTTATGTCTTGTTTTAGAATTCCCCTCGCATACTCGTACATTCAATATCCTGGTGCCATTTCGCCTGCATCCAGCACATCGTTGATCCTGTTGAGCACTCAGAGTCTTATAGTGTGCCTCCTTGCTTTCTGGAGGATCCCTTTTATTGCTTTCAGTATTTTAGTTCATTATGATGTCGTGGGTCTGGTCCCGACATCCATCTCAGTTTTAGAGGTTTCATAGATGGTCAGTGAGTTAGTTCATTTGTCATTATCTTGTTATTGACTTATGTTCAGATATGATTTGCCACTTTGGCTAAGTTAAATGTTTATTTTCTAAAACATTTTGAGTTTAGTTTGAGACAGTTGATTATCTTGCATTTGATTTCTTTTCTTAATGCTTAAAGTCTTCCGCTGAGTTAGTAAGCTAGGCAAATGGTTCGCTTGGGGCCAACAATGGTTCTCGAGTGTCAGCCACGTCCAGGGTGTAGGCTCTGGGTGTGATAGTTGTACTCAACCTAAATCAGAGACTTTGTCTCATCTTTTTCTTACCTCTTATTCAGCTGCAAAGTTGTGGAGATTGTTTGCTAATTTTACAATTATTTAAATAGAAGGTTTACAACTTTCACAAGTTGTTGTCAAATGGTGGACATGTGAATGTTGTCCAATGATAAAACCATTCATCAGGTCAGTGCCAACAATCATTATTTGGAGTCTTTGGAAGAGAAGAATCATTTTAAACATGGCAAGACAACGTCTTTCAAAAGTGTAGTTCTTAAGGTCAACTCAGACTTGTGGAAGTTTGGAAGATTTGTTTATCCAAAGATGCAAGATTTGGCAACAAGGTGGTCTAATATAGTGACATTTCTGGAGAAGTACAAACCAAAAATATACTACCTACTAGTATGTTGGAAACCTTCACAAGGATGCCTTAAATGTAACACATATGGTGCATCAAGGGGCAACCCAGGTAGGAGTACCTATGGTTTTTGTTTGAGAAATTCTAAGGGAGATTTGGTCTATGCACAAGGGGAGGAGATACAAGAGGGCACTAACTTAGAATCCGAATCCATTGCAATTAAGGAAGCCTTGGCACACTGTGCTACAGAAGGAGTAACTAAAGTTTGTCTTGAAACCGATTCATTAGTGTTACTTAAAATACTGACTAGAGTGTGCGAAGTGCCATGGAATATTATAGTGATAGCGGAAGATATATGGGGATTAGCAGAAATGGTCTAAGTTTAAATTTAGCACATTTATAGAGAAGGAAATCATTTGGCTGACTGCATAGCCCACTTAGCTTTTGATAACCAAAGCAGACTTGTCTATACTTGTTTCTCAGATTTATCAAGTCAGGCCAAGAGAATTCTGACCTAGACAAGAATCAATATCCTAATCTTCGAATCAAAACAAAGCAAATCGGTAAAGGGGCTGAGGAATATGGACGTACATCAGTGGCAATCACACCATGAGTTCAATAAACTCAATTAACTTGGTCTTTTATAGAAATCATTTCTTTCAGACAGTCGGTACATCACAAGAAAGAATAGTCAGGAAAGTAACAATACAAATCTCTTTCACAAATCAGAGGCAACAGATCTACAATAATAAGTACAAAAAATCATATCTAAGTGTGAGATGCTTCATAACACTGGATGTAAGTATCAAGGATACTTACCAATGAAGGAGTAGGGGTCGTGAAGAGCTGGTCCAGCCATGGAAATTACTACATCGACCTTTGAGCTTCATAGTTTAAGACAACCATACATTAGAGGGATTGCAAGGGCAAGATAGGGAAGCAAAGAAAGAGAAGAGAGGGAGCTCACTAGACATCAACGATTGCTTCAACTTGATTTGGGTTGGAGAGATCCAACTTCCTAATTCTCACAAAGAGCAAGATGGAGAGTTTCACAGAAGGATATCTGGATTAGAGATATTTTTGGACTTCCTCAATTTTGAATTACAATGTTTTTTCTTAGTTTATGGTGTGCTGGCCACTGTTGGGCCAGCCAAACAATGGTGAATTTTTTTTTTTAATTATTATGCATAATTAATAAAATTGGTCCTATGGGTCATATTTAATAATAAAAAAAAAACTATATATACAAACACAAATCACAATTAGTTCCACCATTTCCACATGGCAAAGGTCATCTTCTTTGATATCTTTTCATATTTAGAATCAACTATTCAACCATAATTAAGGGACAATATTTCATTCAAGAACATCTACAAGCATCTCAAAGTCAATTGAATCAACTTTAAAGGTTTACCTAAGGATTCATAACACAATTTATCGAATTCATTCAACTCAATTGAAATTAAGATCTCATAATTTACTCGAAGGATGTAATGTCACTCACAACAAGAGAGAATCCAATTCACAATAATGTATCTCTAATAAAGGATTATAGATCATACAAAGATACTCACTCTCATATAGAAATTCAAGCATACATCATCAAACCATAGGCTTTCTAATAACGCTCAACTATGTCTTGTGTTTAAAAGATAGATGATCGTATTGTCACGATCCAATTTGCCAGGTCATGATGAAACCAATTATAACCCATCAGTAGGTAAGCCAATTGATAACTCAAACGGTGAGAAATAGGTATAAGGGTAGAATAATAACCAAACGCAAAAGAGGAACAATTTAACCAACAAGAGAAAAGAGCGGAAACAAAATACATATAGGTAGACAAAACAAAGGATCCAACTCAGATGTTGGTGGTCGCAAGTATAAAGCTACTACAAAAAGAGTACAAGTCCCAAATGTGGAACAAAATATATAGAATTGTCTCAAAACACAAAAGACTAGTCAACTATACAGAAGGAGACATGTATAATAAAAAATGTCATAAGCTCATCCTCGCCTCCAAATCCTGTGAAAACTAGTGCAAAATCAATGTTGATGTTTGTACTCAAACCTGCATCAAGAAATAGATGCAGAGTGTACCATGAGTACAAAACAACAGGCACTCAATAGGAATCATAAGTCGACTGCTAGAAAATAAAGACTATGAAAAATGAGAATTAAAACACAATAGCGCTCGAATGAGCGTAAGTTTAACAAGAATGCATATGAGTGTAAAAAATAATGAAAATGAAAGCATGTAACTAACTAAAACCTGACTGGACCCCCAAAAATCTGCAAGTTTAAGTAAGAATCCAAGCGGACCCCCATAATCTCGACAATAGGTACACCAAAGAACTAAAGCTATTGAGAAAAAAACCCAGTGAATTCAGAGCTGAAAAGTGTGTAGCTTAGACCTTGAACCTCGAATAGGCCTCCCAAAAGAACAAACAAACCAAGCTAATATATATCAACTCCAGAGATGATAATGAGCCCAAATCACAGACTAAAGATCAGATGTCCGAACCTTGAATATGCGACTAATAATAGAGAAACATGACTTGACCTTAAATCTACAATCAATATTAAAGCAGCATGACCAGACCTTGAATCTTCAACTGTAACACCTCGGTCTTAGAAAGAACTAAACTGGAAAGAGTTAAATTGAGAATTTTGCAAGTTAGCCTTAAATTGTGAGTTTTTGAGTCAGCTTCAAACAACCATAAATTTCAGTACATGATGAGTTAGGTGGCCTATAAGGTATCAAATGAAAGATCTCTGAGTCCTCTTTCTAACGCCACCAAGTTTGCTAAATTCTGAGCTCAGATAAGGGAGATATGTCAATTTGAGTTCAGCCTGTCCGATCATTGATGACTCGGGAAGTCATGGTGCATAAACATTGATGGTAAATCTAGATACCATACTTCTTAAACATTGATGGCATACTCGATCATTAAACTAATAATGTTTTAGATACTCTTTTCTCAAAACTCGTCTTTACTTTCTCAAAACTGAGTTTAAGAACTCAAGTGTCTACTTTAAAAGTTTTTCAAAATTTATAACTCAAATCATAGGTTCCTGTGGAATTATGGACATGAATGACTCAACTAAGAGATCTTAATGACAATAAGGAAACTCAGTACTCAGAACTCAAGACTCAAGAATTCAATGATATTTCTTCTCCCAAAAATACTCAATTTATAGGGTTCATGCTGAAATATAGTCATGAATAATTCTACTCAAGAATTTTAATGCATAAAATATAGCAATTCAATAATTCGGAATAAAATTTCAAAAGAATCAAGAACCTGAGAACTCAAATAAACTTATCTCAACAATACTCAAATATAGGGGTAGAATCCTAGATTTTTTTACTGATTTGAAAGTAGATGTAGGGCGCGAGTATTACGATCTGAATCTACACCCTGGACGTGGCCGGCACTCTAGAACCATTGTTGATCCCCAAGTGAACCCTCATCGTGGCTGACTACAAGCAAAATACTAACTTAAGCGTACAAAAGCTTAAAACTGAAATAAATTCAATAACACAAATACTCAACTTTAAAATATTCTGAATAATACTCAATAGATGAACTCAGAGTTTTAAAAACAACTCAAAGAAGATACATACTAAAAGTACTCAACTTTGTCTATCTATAAAGCCTCTATTATTACAGAAGGATATCGGGACAAGACCCACTACATCTCAAAAGTACTAAATGTAAGATAAAGGTCAAGTCCTTCGGAATATAAGAAGGCTCACCAAAGCTGGCTGGAATATCACATGACCTCAACGAAACGCCCGTTGATGATCCTGAATACATGTATCTGAGGCCAAATGGCTCAACACATGGTATGTACGAGCATGTAAGAAGAATTCTAAAACATAAACATAAGCTTGAAATGATGGAAAAGAAACATACTTACCCCTTCTCAACTCACTCAACTCAATGAAACATAGTTCAACGCAATAATAATAAGAGACTCAATTCTGTAAAACATAGTTCAACTCAATTGAGAGAAATAGGGCTCAACTTAATAATAAGGTGCTTAATAATATAAGATGCAATATCTAGGAAGCTTTTAAAACAATAGGTGATAACTGAATTGTATGCAAAATACAATAATAACTCAATTATATGAAAATAAAATAATTGCTCTGTTTGTATATAAAAATACAAAGTAGCTATGTGGGAGATTCTCTAACCGACAACCGTCACTATGAGTTATGTGATAATACAACATCTATCCCACACTGTTAGAACTGTCTTATACTTTGTCAGCGTATAGAACCTACTACTAAGTAGATCCACTAGTCTATGCTAAAAAGCAATAATGAATCATCTTAAAAGTATGACCCTTTCTACTCAAGTTGGCTACATGGTTTATGGGGGATGTGAGTTGTCTGAACTCTCTTCCATATCGGTGCTCAATACTACTCTCACAATATATCTAGCTCATATGTTTAGAAACATAACTCTTTCTGTGTGTTTGAGATTATTACTAAAAAATCTTTCTCTTAAAAGAGATGGTACTAAAACTACTCAAAACTCTTTTGGAAATCTCAATTTCATCTCATCTTAAATGTAAGAAAATATTTACTCTTGGGAATACTTAGTTTCCATTTATCATTTTACAGAAAACGAACTCAGCTCTACTTTTCCTCAACTCAGTTCTCAAGTCTTTAAAAAAAGTTTTAAAATAATTTGTAAAAATACTTCTTAAAATAGGGTTCATGCCGAATTATGGGTGTGAACGACTCAATTCAAGATTTTAAATAACCATGCATAGAACTCAATACTTGGAACTCAACAACTCTAGAACTCAAGGATTCAATGACACTACTCATCACAAGAATGCTCAACTCGGAGGGTTCATGCGGAATTATGGGTATGGACTACTCAACTCAAGGACCTTCATGGGTAACATGTAGTAGCCCCATGATTAGGAATATAATCCCAAAATGATTATGGACTTAATACTCAAGACTTAGAACTTGAAGATACTACTCCTCTCAAAGATACTCAACTGATGGAGTTTATGCAGAATTTATGGGCATGAATGACTCAACTCAAGGGTCTAAATAACAATATGGAACTCAGGTATATGACTCTTCTCATTCTCATACTTACTTCCTCAAAACTTACCTCAAATATTTCAAAGGATTCACAATTGAACTCAAATACTTTCTTGAACTCTACTCTTAACTCTTTCTTGAATTTGAATTATGAATTCAAGAGTTATGATTCATGATATGAAGGATCTCGATGATAGTGTAGAATTATGAATAAATTCTCCTCATTCTCATACTCACTTACTTGAGTCTTGAAACAAGTTATTAGTAATTGTAGAAGACTCCTCAAGAAAACTCAAATGGACTTTCTCAAAATGTTCGAAAGAACTCCCAAGACTTGACTCTTAACTCTACCTTGAATTTGAATTATGAATTCAAGGTTATGATTATTGTGATTAATGATTTCTAGGTGTTTAGAAGTAGTTTAAAGTGTTTAGAATTAATAGGGATTGAAGGAACCCTTTTTAAAGAACTCAATTCGATAGTTGATCTCGAAGGATTCACGATTTAACTCAAAGACTATCTTGAACTCTACTCTTAAA